TTGAACAGTTGGTTACCAGTTCTGTTTCATTGCTGTTTTTAAATGTTTGTATCATCAATTTTGGAATCACTTTGTCTTTATGTGTCATCTCTCTCTGACAGGTTATGCACCCACACAGTGGGAAGGTGGCATTGCTGAGACTCTCCTTTGAACCCCTATCCATCTAGCCATTCCTGTTCTGACACATTACAAGATCTGCAGTGATGCACAAGAGATTCAGCACCAATTGGAGCAGGAGTGCATCACTCATTAAGTCGTCACAAGCTCGCTAGAACTCACAATTTCTAGATCATTGATCCAATCATCTTGATCACGCCCAGTCAGGCACTTGGAGTCTATGACCATTTTATTAATTTTCAGTAGATGCTGGTTTTATGAAAGCCTAATGAGATTTTTTGGCCTTTCATCGCAGAAATCAATTCATCTAGGGACCACAATCAAAACACACAAAGCCATCTTTATGACCCAGAAAATAGTGTACTAAATCATATATTGTAAATTGGTTCATTACAGAACTAAAATGCATTTTATCCTCTTGAATGAAATACAGATTCTAATATAGTATATGACATTTGTTTTAGAATTAAATATTTTTTTTAAACTTTAGAATTTCTAAAGTCCTGCAAACATTTGACTTATCAACAAATACAAAACAAAGATTTTGTTAGAATATGTGTGACTGAAAAAAGACAAAGAACTTTGAATATTAAATTAGTTCAAGTAGGTAGCTGCGTCAGCGTGCGTAGGCTACAGAGGAACAGGTAAAGGTTTATGCCATGCTGAAAAGAAAATAATAATTATCCGACAGTTTCCCTTTCTCCCTCACAACTGAAGAAGGCTTTACAGCACAAACATTGTTTCTCTTTTCTTTTCCGCATGGAATACACCCTTACTCCCACTAAATGAGTTATCATAAAAAGAGTTACAAATGAGAAGAGCCCCATATACTGTAGCTTGAAACCACAAAACTGTGAGCTACCAGACACAACCAAGTTAACTGCATGTGGAATAAAGCTACATTGATTATATCAGTTAAAGAAAGAGTCACTGTAGTTTTTGAAAAAGAAATTCAGAAAAACAAAAACATCCTGTTCCATTGTAAACTGTGATGAGCTAATTAATCTGCTACAGCAACACTGTGATTTAACATTCTGTACTACAGAATCACACAGATAGTTTAACTTTAACTCTTTTTAATACAGTGAACTTTCAATGCTTTATTTATAAAAGGTGTGTGAACCTTCATTTTCAGTGTTACTGTGTGCATGAAGGTGAACTCCTGTAAGTACTTGATGCATGCTTTATGGATTTTGATTTCCTCTTAAACTTTGAAGGATTCCATCAGAATATTTGGAATTCCGTGATAACTGGAAATTCATTCCAAACTGGAAACTGGAATTCATTCCATTAATTTAGTATCTTCTATAATCTAGTAAATTCTAACATTCTGCTTAACTAGTTCTAATACAAACTTCTTTTAAACAACAACTCCCAGTAAAGAAAGAATCACATTTAGAAAGTACATTTTAAATATTACAAGATTACAAAAATTATAATAATATTATATTTTAGTATATAGTGGAATACATCACACAAAAACATAATTTAAAATGCCAAATATTATATATTATTAAAATCAATTGCATCTTACAAAAATTACAATTGATAAATTAAAATGCACTACTGTATTTGTATTGTCTCCATAACTGAACAACAATCTGATAAATCCTAGAATTTATTAATGCAAATATATTTTGTATAATTCATAGAACAGTCACAAGTCTGCAGTCTTGGTATGTGTTTAGTTATGAGTGTATTTCTTTCCTTTATATATGTGTACTACAATTTTACACTAAATCTTCTTCTCCCAGTCCAATCACTATGCTGTAGCCAGGCTTTCATTCTGTGTCACTATTTAGGGAGGTAGGACTGGTATCAACAGTTTCTCTTCAGTTCTTCATGTCAAAATCGAAAAGGGCATTTCTGTTTTGGTCCACCTGTTGATTACTGTACAGCTACAAGGCTAAATGATGTAAAGTCAGCTACAGTAGATGGTCTAGCTAGAGACTCAGAACCTTTAGTTTAGTTGCTCCTTTAGCATGAACTGCAATGGTGTTTATTTATATTCACCAAACCCATGAGGCTGTCTGAAGTGCTACATTAGCCAGGACTGATGTTACCTTTAGCAATATACCAGATGCACATACATCAGCAATCATCCTTTTTTGAGTTGATTTACATCTGTCATTTTTCCAACAGAATAGCTCTGGACTCTATAATTTAGAAGGGGAGGGGAATTTTTTAACAGAAAGAAAGAACCAGTGCTAGTTTAGCTTAAAAGTTTAGAGATCATCCTTGAATCTTGGCTAAGGCTCATGTTGGTTGACTGTGACTGTGATTCCTTAAGTGGATGGGCTTGAGTTAAGATATTCTCAGGCCACTCAGATCAGGGCATGGAGCATGTGATGTGCTGAGCTGTGAGCTTGATGGGCTGTCAGGGTGAGCTGCACTGCGAGGCCTTGCAGTTTGGAGAATGTGGGGTTATCCTGACAGAGCACTTTGGAGAGGAAAGAGCACTTTGCTCATTCATTGACCAAACAAGTCAAACTGATAGTTATTTGGGCTGCATAAAAAAAGTCCGGATGGAGTAATCACATTTTAGAGGCCAAGAACATACTTGGACACACCAGATAGGTAAATAATAAAAAGTGGTCTGCATACCTTATAGTTAAGGTGTCTTAAAGGTGCTGCATTCTTAGGTCTTCTAGGCTGTTGTAGCACATAAATCACTGCAATTTCCAATTTAATGTAATTCCCCTTTATATTTATGGAGCTGGTTGTCACAAAAAATATAACTTTTTTCCATTGGTGTTCATAAAGCATGCTGTATTAAAATATGAAACATCTTTAAAAATCAGGCACTCTGGGTTAAGATAGCGGAGGGCTTCATCCTGCTCACTTGTGCTTGATTGTGACTCCAACTGAATTTTTAAACTAGGGTCAAGCTCTCATGGCTCTATACAATGCCTTGCTTAGCACTGCAGTATGATGTCTATTATTCATTGCTCTAAGCAGTGAAAGGCTTAGTGACAAACCTTTTTGAAGGATTATGCATGCTGGCATTCCAGACTTTTCCTGAATACCTGTTGTGGAGTGATGGGTGGGGGTGGGGCTGAATTTCCATGTATCACTACTAGCCTTCCATGGGCTGTGCTCACATGAGTAATCATTTACAGATTTGTCCCAGAAAACCTGCTGAGTACAGCCTTCTACAGGTAGGTGATGACCCAGAACGCAAAAGAATGCTGGGTAATTACTCATTAAGAGTATCTGTTTAAGCCATTTAATAGTTATTTCTAACTGGAAAATGAGCTATTACTAGTTGCAGTAGTTTTTTTTACAGATGTCTTACATCTTATTTACATATTTATATTAGGTATTGGAATGTAAGTACAACTATGCTAGTCATGACAAATGAGGTTCTCTAAAATAAAGTGGCACCAAACATTGACTTGAGAATAGTAATGTTTTAGTATATTTGTAAAGGATCTTGTCTTGTTTCTTTCAGAGGAAACAATGAGGATTTTTTTTAACTATAACTTGATCTGAGTTCCTGAGGCATTTCTTTGTATTAAACAGTACAAAAAACCATAAGGAGGATAAGGATTTATCTTTTACTATTCTCATGTGTTGAAGGTTGAGTTATGTATTCCAATTACAAGATTTAGCATCTACTACAGAATGTGTTGGACAGAAAATAAAGCCTAAGCACATGTTGAAAGGATGAATCCTGGTGACAGAAGTAGACCCCAGAGGACACAGACACTGCAATGCAAGAAGTGTTGTGGTTGGGCAGACTGTGAGGTACTTAAATATGAATAGTACAGTACTCATAAAAACTTTTTGAATCCTAATCTTCATTTTTTACAATGTAAATTAAACTTTGTTAATTAATCTAAACTCAGATTTGTTGGAACTGATTTATGGGCAGTCCACATTCTCTGTCAGTGCCAGGTTCAGACTGTTTAGACTGTCCTAGAACAGCAGTATAGCAGAAATTGAAAACTGAAGTTACCTTTGTTTTTCCTGGCATTTGCAGTTTAGAGGGTGGGTTAATCAAGAACTGTCATGACATTGTTACACCCTGTAGAGCTCAACTCAGGAAAAAAACGTCTCATGGTTATCATCTATGAGATTACCAAAATGTTTATTTACTGTATATATAGGATAAATTAGTTACAGTTTAGGCAGTGAAAAGCAATTACAGTATGTGCTATATGTACATACCTCAGACAAAGCTTTGTCTCATGAAACAGTTGTGGTCTGGATAGCCTAAAGCAATCAGTGCTTTGAGCACTTTGATATACAGTACTATGTCCTGTTTCTGGTCTGCTCCCACCTTTACTCTGGTCATTTTCAAGGCTTTAGTTATGCATATTAATCCATTCTGAATTAATTTCACTACAATCCATTCAGAATTAATTTCACTACACTCACTTTCCTCTTTCCCCTGACGTGTTTGTGAGAAGTGCAGTGAAAAGAGGAGGACAGCATCACGGCACACTAGCGAAAATACAATGTGCTCCTCCTTGGGTTTATTAGCATAAAGTTGAGTACATGCACAATGCTCATGGTTGTGGCAAATCTAAACAATTCCAACAAAAGTTCGAAGATCTAACTACATTGTCAATATCTCGGATAACAGTCCCAGATTTAAAAGAGTCAGCGTTCTTTGCTCTAAAACTTCAATGGAACAAAATGAGGAATGAAGATTCGCGAAGGACGAGTCTGCTGATGCTTTCATTGAAATGTTGTGATAATCCATAATTCCCGGCCTTCACATTGTGCCCAGATCAGATGCAGTGAGGAAAGTGGCTCCAATTTAATGAGTTACACACAGACGCCATAGAGGTTCTGAGTTCAATGTCTGGGCAGGAATTTAAAAGTAGCAAAAATATGACCACACCTATATGAATTTCAAATAAGAATAAATAACATACCTGTGAAAGAGCTGTAGTTCTTTGGTCCAGCAGACAATTTAAAAAAAAAGACTTTCTGGTTATTTCTCTGGTTAATTCTTATGATGTAAGCTTGAAGAATCTCTTGGATGGAATGCAGCCTCTACATTTTCTCAGCTCATGCTTTTCTAGGGCCAGCAACTACCACCCCCCTATACACACACCTCTCTCTCCAGCCCTCCTTTTTGGTATCCATAGCAACCACAAGTGCAGCTTGTGGCCTACTCATTTCATTATTAAAACAGCAGGACAAGTAGTCTTTGTACTGTTAGACTCCCGGAGAACTATTAATTAATTTTGTCACAATAGTGGGAGAATTTAAACATCTTGCTACTTTAATTTGCTCACCACAAACAACAGCTAATTTTAAAGTACATAACACCATATTACACATATACACTATAAACTTTCCCCTGTTTCTTTTACTCCTGATTCTTATGCTAGATGGAAAGAAAGATTTAATTCCTAAGGAATTGCAAAATAATGGTTGCTGAGTGCAATATTTCCCCCTGAGTTTCTACTAGTGGATCTGTACTTTCTTGTTGAGTTACAGTACCACAACTAGACAGCTTATAAAAACATTAAACCGAAGAGGCTGGACTCCAAAACTACATCCGCATAAGTCCACTCTGAAAAGCCTGTTTTGGGGGAGAACTGGAATATGATGCACAGGGGTGGAGTGAGGAAGACATGAGAATCTGAGAATGGGCAGAGGGTATTGCAAATGATTAAGCCCAAAATATTAAACACCCTTACAATCTTTGTATATACCAACCAGTCATGTTTTTAGTACTCTATTGTGATTCAATGTCTGTGTTTTCTTTTCTGCTAAAAATGTGACAAATTGTCTAGCGATGTTAAAATAAGGTGGCAGAATGGAGGTGCTGCTCATATATTTAATCTTTAATCGAGGTCATTAAATTTCTCTTGGCAGTGTTGTAAGAGTAGTTTTGCAGCTTCAGCTGTCACAAAGCGTTAATCAGGACCCTGTGTAGATGGCAGAATCCGGAAGGGAGTGAAACAGACACGGGGAAGAGACGACAAGGAACTGGGCTCGTAGATGAACAGGGGTGCACTGGTCCTCTGGAGTGTGTGGTCCAGGCGAAAATCCAAAGGGAGTCAGAAGGGAAATCCAGAGTGAAAGTCCAGAACCAGGTAATCCATCCTCAACAGATAAGACAAAAGTTAAAACTGGAGCAAACTAAGGTGGAATGATGGTAGTATGGGGATGCATAATGAGTGAAGTTTATCTTTGTTTTGTTGTAGCCTATTAATTGCCCACTTGTAGTTTGGAAACAAGATTCTGCTGACTAAGCAAAGGACAGAAGGGAGCTGGCTTGCTCCTCAGAATTTTGTAAGTAGAGCACTACAAAAATGCTGATTTTGTAATAAATGCTTAGAGAAATACAACTTGTCTGCATTGATGCTCTTTTTGAGCTGTTAATTTAAAACTTCAAAAATCTGTTACTCATCTTTACTGATTAAATCTCTAAACAATCAACCATCTCTTCTCTACATAATATTTTTATTGATTAATCAATCAATCAATTTGGTACAGTTCCCCTAGCACAACTTTTCCATAGAGTGCTTTACAGATTTCTATAGCAATGCTTAATTCGTTCATGTGGAGCCTTTACTGCTATATATAAACAACATAGTTATCAATTGTAAAAACAACCTTAACATTTAGGGAATATGTAAAAATGTAATAGGTGGATATTCGGAATAGACTAAATTCACTGAACTGTTTTACTGCAAAGAGTAACTGGAAAAAAATCTGTTGTTATTTCAAGAGAATTGAATTCTAAGTAAAATCTTCTGTGTTTGTATGGGTTTCGTCTGGGTGAGTGTGTGTGTCTGTGAGTGCCATGTGACAAACTGGCATCCTATCTAGGGTGTATCCGACCTTTTGCCCAAAACTTCCCTGGATAGGCTCCTGGCCAATTGTCACCCTGAACTGGATACGCAGTTATTTTTAGTTAAGTGATAGTGACATTATTACAAAATAAACATTCTCTGTGAACCTTGATGAGCACATGACAACCTGCAATATACTATATACTGTACGTCACAGACGTATAGTATGCAGTGGTCAATTGTGATAGTGCTAACTAGGTCTTTCTGTTAATGGATTGCAGTGTTCAGCTCTTTCAAGAATGATTGTACTGTAGACTGGAGTTATTCAGGTCCACCCGCACAGAAAGAGCAGGAGGACTTCCTCTGGCAAATATTCTGTTGCTAAAGGGTAAACAGTTAAGTCAATAAATGGAAAGCAGAAAGTCAATAGGCATTGCTCTTACAGTTCCTAGTAACAGCTTGGCTGGGAAAATACCTTTAGTTCTTTATTGGTAAAAGGTAAAGGTTATTTGTTGCAAAAGTACTCCATATTTCCATATTTGGGGAGTTGACTTAAAAAAAAGTACATTTTGACAAGATATTTTTGTTTTGACAAATAACCTAATTAAAAGCATGTAGGATGTATTTGTAATGTATTATTCCATCCATCCAACTTCTAACCACATCGTCCAATTCAGGGTCAGAGGGGAGCTGGAACCTATTCCAGCAATGGGCACAATGCAGGGCACAGCCTGAATGGGATGCTGGTCCATCTCAGGGCACACACAGACAAAAATAAAAGCACACACACTCACATGTATGCCCAATTTTCCAGTAGCCAGCTAAAGTACCAGTATGTATTGTGGACGAAAACCTGGAAGTAACTCATGTGAACACTAGGAGAACATATGAACTCCACACAGATAGCAAACCAGGTCTGAAATTAAACGTAGGGCCCCAGTGCTGTAAGGCAGCAATGTTAACCACTGTGCCGCTGAATTCATTAAAGCAATTTATTCACTTTTATTGTACTTCAAAAATAATAAAAGCATAAGAAATAATAGAATAACAGAGGAAGAAAAATCCTCTATATCAAGCATGTGAAATAGATATCAAATTATACAGAATCTGTGTGGTGGTCAACTAATGTGGTCAACTCCTTTTCTTACCAAGAAGTGCATTCATTTGTACAGGTCTTTGTTCTGTTGTAGATGTTTGAGTTGTATAAAATCAATTCACACAGTCCATCCTTGAGCCATTCCATGCCACTTGAATTCTAAAAATAGTCACTTTAAACCTCTGTCAACCTTCTAAATATCTGTCCTTGTTGACCAGCATTGCCTGGACTAATTCCAAAGCAGAAATATATTTTCTGTAATGTTGTGTCCAGAATTGTACACAATATGCTAACTAGGCCTAACTAGTGTATTAATCATATTTAACATAACCACCCTAGATTTAAGTTCTATACTTTTTAAAATAATTTTATTTTATAATATTTGTTTTTTGCTCAAATTTGTTTGCAGTTTGTATTGCTTCCCCTATTAAACTAAGGCTCTACAATCTCTCTGGATAACACATCTTGAACCATGGTATTATTTGACAAGGTGCTCAATCTGCATCTTTGACCAACTGATAAAGCCAGGAAAAACAGCAACCCTTTGTTCAAACCTGATGGTTTACCAAGTGCGTGAGGTTTCAGTCTTGTACTGTATGGATTAGATTATCAGCTTTTGCCTGAAGTTCACCCCTTTTTGAGGTCTTCAGCCAGGCACAAAAATCTCCTGAAGTGACAGTGCTGCATATCTGGCCATTTGCATAGGATGCATCTGTCACAGTGACAGAATGAGATTTGCAGACATATCTTAATTTCTGGTCACATCTTATGAGTGTATTTATGTGCACGTGAACTACAGAAGACTGGAGTCCAAATATTTTTAAGGATCTTAAAGTGAACAAAAATTTCAAAAAATCTAAAAAACATTTGATCTTTAAGGGATAGATTTTACAAATTGAGAGTGTTTACAGTACGAAATGGAAAATGGCTTTGAATTGGCATATGCAAGAAGGAGTTTTTGAGGATTAAGTGTGTTCGTGACAACACTCTTACTAGACGGTTATTACTGTGGTTTGATTTTTTTTGTAAACCTTGTTTAACAGTTTTCTCAGAGAATGATTACTAAATCTGAAACCTGGGTAGCAAAGTTTTGCAAAGAATGGTGGTTGGTTAGATAAAAACAACAGCTCACTTATCTGAACAAAACAAATGCCACCACCAAAATGACAGGCATGACTAGTACACAAGCCATGTTCAGCGTGCCGGTGAACAGACCTCAACCACATAAAAACAAAATGCTTCATCTGCTCCGGAAATAAGACAGTTCCCCATGTAGCATCACTATATTAGCTGTAAACGCTAGCTTGAATAATCACTTTAGATAGATAACTTACTGTAGGTACTGTAGATACATTAGGTAAAATACATTTACCAACTAGGTAGAGTAATGTGACAATGTCTGGAAATGTTGTGTAATTGTCAAGAATTGAGATCTAGGCTCTTAAAATCTAGTCTTCTGGTTTCTAAACCAGTAATTACATATTACATGTTACATATTTTTTTCAAGGTATACAGGAAATCAGTTAAAAGATTAATTCGATCATAACTCATCACATTTTTACCTACTGACAGATATCACATTCATCTGGATGGGCTGCCCTGCTAGAATGAACCTTTTCTTGGTCAAAATAGCAATGATCAGGGTAATGAAGGCACTGTGTTCAGATATTACAGGTGCTTGGTGGCCAGATACAAACACACACAATCACACCTGAGCCAATTTTCACAGAAGCCAGTTAAGCTACAGTACCAGTATGTCTCTGGACTGTGGGAGGAAAGTGGAGCAAATGCAGAAAATCCACGTGAACGAGGTGAGAACATACAAACTCCACACAGACAGCACCCCAGGTCTGGATGAATGAGCATAAAAAAAACTTTTTCTGTACAGCTCGGCTAAGGGATCACAAAAGTTTTTAAAAAACCAGTGAAGGCTTTAGAATAATCATTAAAGTATCACTTTTTACTTTTCGGTTTGAGGTTTTACTATGTCACATTTGGAAACACAGCTACGAAAAATGTTTCCTGTGTAATGAAATGTCAAATTTAAACTAAGGGTGAATATTAATTTAAAGAGTGAAGTCATTTTTCACTTTAAAAATAAATACATTTGTAGAGAGCAGTGTCTATTTTCTGTTCTGCTTCCTGTAAGCCACGTGGAACTGGGGGGGAACTTTCTCAAATGCTTGGCCCACTTTAGAAACAGTTAAGGAAACCAGAGTTCTCTTAGCATGTGAATTCAAGCACATACTAGCACCTTTATTTGTAATTGCCAATTCCTTAATTTATTTAAGGAAGCCTTAATTCTGAATGGATATTGATGATTAAATGAGTTTCATGAAGAAGGATGACTTAAGCACTCTGGATATTGGAATTTCCAATGATGTTATAATCTTTGGAATCTGAGCCAAGACTGCAGTAAAAATGTAGAAAGTCCCAGTTTGATCACTTTAGATTTAGGATAGTGAAGGAAAGGAAAAAGATCATTCACGCTCTCCACCTCTGGAATTACACAGCAGAAACTTTTCTACTGGCTTCTTTTTAAAAAAAATGAGATTTCATTTAAAGATATCTCATCTGCTACTCAGGAGGCAAAATTGAGAGCTTTTTGATTTGGCATTTTTTAATCTCATAGATAATTCCTATTTTTCCAGTTGGCTAAATTCCATTGGGACTTGAAACACCTGGGTGAAAAGCTGAATGAAGGTGAGTTGGAATTTGTAACCCATTTTAAACCCAGCCCTCTTGTACAATCTAGTTGTAAAAAAGATTCTTTGTGACGATAATGTCAGATGACATCAGGATTTTGTTCCTTTGCATTTATATTGACGCAAAACTGCTTTGCATCAACAGCTTAGCCTTTAAAGTAAAATTGTTAGTTCCTTAAAATGTGTTCCTTTTTCTCTGTGTTCTCAGCACAGTAGGCACAATTACTGACGTGATATGGTCACAGAAAGATGCAATGATAATTCTGAACTGTTTGCAGATTTTGAAGCTATTTGAATTACTGGGAATTCCTTATTTATAAAATATATTTTGAAAACTTACTTTTTTAACTGTTATCACAATCTTTCGGATGAGATGTTATGCCAAGCTCCTGACTCTCAGTGGTCATTAAAGATCACCGATACTGATTCTGAAGACAATACTGATAACAAACTTACAATTTCTTAATTATAAAATGTTACTAATTATAAATGTAAAACATGCAGTAAGCGCACACCTACAGTCCTCGGTGACCAGGCTCCAGCTCCAATAATTGGGAGCTGAAAATCCCTGAATAGTCCAGTTATGGTAAAGATTAACTTAATTACTATGGATTGTTAAGAGCAGAGGTTGATTGAAAATCTGAAGACACTCCTGTCCTCCAACACTGGACTTGAACTGCACTGAACTGCTGTTACATCCTCACACATATGTGCAGATTCATTCTGACAATAGGTAGACTAAAAAGGCTAAATAAACGGCAAAGCAATACAATTAATCACTAAAAAAATGTCAAACAATTATTGTGAAATCTTTTCATTTAATTTCCTGCTTGGTCTGTACTCGTCAGTGCATTCAACATGATTCCCTAGACAGTCGTTGTTTATTTTACTAGAATTATCACTTAATTACTAATATTTATGTGTCCAAAGCCTTTAATAAAGTCCACTTGTGTTTAATTACACAATAAAAAGACAGAAATCATGGGCAGCACAGTAGCATGGTGGTTAGGGGGTATTGCCTGTGGACTGAAGAGGCTTCTGTATGCAGTTTGCATTATCTTTGCAGGTTCACGTTGGTTTTCACCAGATTCTCCCATTTCAGAAACATGTGCTGGCTAGGTTAATTGGTGTCCCTAAATATTGCCTGTGTGTAACTCAACAACCACACACAGTACATGGGAGACTGAGTGTGCTGCTTGAATAAAGTAGCCTAACACACTGCAGGGTACAGCACAAATCTTACACCCTTTATTACAAAGCAAAGCAAACAAATTTGTGCAAAACAGAGAATGGAGTCACAACAGATAAGTGCAAGATTATTTCACAATACTAATGGAAAGTAAAACATAACAAACCACTGTCATAACACAGAGGAAACTTCTGTACATGGTAGTGCTTTTAAAACAGAGAACAGGGGACACTTTTTTTACACTAAGGTCTGTGACAGTATGGAACAGACTACCCAGCTATTTAATTGAAAATCTTGCTTCTTTTAAAAATGGCTAGATTAGATCCTTGGATCAATTAGATACCAACTACCAAATTGGCGTTTTACGTTTATATATGACAAGCGATACATAAAAAAGATATGTGGAATTTTTTTACCGTAGTGCACTACTGGAGAATTATAGACTACGAGCTGAGAGACAGTCCTGGGTTCTGCTTGAATCAGAGATGTTTTGTGAAGCTGCTTTGAGTCCAGTGCTCAGGCCTACAGGCAGTCGGGAGTAAGGAGACCAGGAACTAGTCGTCTTTCCAAATAGGTGTCTAAGAAACAATGGGAACATCATCCAGGTAACAGCACTCGTCTGTCTTCACTTGAGAGGAAACAGCCTTGCCTTGTCAAGTCCCCAACCACTAACTAATAAAAAATGTTACTGATGATTTTATTTACTATTCTTCACTTTATTTTCCAATGGTATTCGACTACGTTCTCATTTTCCAAGAGAGAGAAGGAATGTAGCCCTTGATTCATTCCCCCTAACGCACATGAATGTGAAACTCTTCTGAAACTGGAAGTTATTCCTGTAACTGCCTCACCAGCTTCCCCTTTTTCATACCATCATTTAAAGCTATGTTTTCCATGTGATGGGCCACAAATCGAGAGTCTCCCAGCAAGAGCAGAAGGTGTTTTCTTGAATGGGAATTTCCTGAATTTCAGCAATTGGGAGGACTATAGGAAACAAAATTAAATCAGAACAACAAGGCAGCTGCGAGGACGCAGACGTAAGTGACTTACATTGTACCTTTTACCCTACCCTGCCTTTGAAAATGTGTTTGGAAAAGGATCTAGATTTGCCTTCTTCGGAGTAGAATATTTCATTTACATTTCCAGATCTGTGGTTTTCCCATATAAAGAGCATTATATAGCTTTAGTGTCAACAGACATAGAACGTGTGATATGTATTTTGAGACTGATTGTTATTGTCATTGCTATCATGATTAGAAAGTAAATTTTAGACTGTTTTTAAAATCCATCTGGTTTTCATTTCAGAAAATAAAGAAAATGTTTCCCAGAATGGAAATAATATTTTCTTACCTTGTTCTTCTACACATCGGTAAGCCTTTTCATTTTCCTTTTTGTTCTAATAGCAGTAACCTAAACAAGCAAATTGTTCTCTGTGTATTGTTTGTTATGTGTTATTTCTCTGGTTGCTAGATCTGCTTCAGGTCATACAGTAAGTCAGGTCATAAATAAATAAGTGTTGGTTTATATTTATAACTATATAAGTGTTGTATAAACTCAACACAGTTTTTTTTTCCTGAGAAAGGACATTCTATTATATAACCATTTAAATCCAAATATTTGGAAGGAAACTTCTGTGCAAATAAAAATTCTGTGTGTTTCAGCTGTTATTATTTGAAAATAATATTTATGGGCTTTTGTAATTTAATTCACATCTTTAAGAGCATGTCATTGTTTCATCACTTCCCCTTATGGACACTCTAAAGTGTTAATGACAGGTAGAACTGGTTTGGAGCATTTGTGCATTTTGCCAGCAAAGAGAATACTAATGTAAACAAATGAATTATTTGAGTCCAAGGACCCACTGTTATCTGTTGTGGGCAGCCATACGGGGGAAAATAATAAATGGTAAAACATCTTACCTGAGCACCTCAAATTTTCAGGAAGAGATTTTAGAAATCCAGTAGAAATCCTGTAGTGCTTTTTCTACTGGAGCTGCTCCCACGTCTGATTAAATGCAACGATTGGTTAGTCTTGAACAACTGTCCAATGAAAAGCAGCTGTATCAGTTGTATCCAGGAAGGTGGAATGTTTTTACAGAGTGAAACTCTGTCATATTTGTGGAATTTACTAAACTAGTGTTTCATGACAGAATGTAAAACCCTTTCCAAAAGAAACCCACTGGCTATAAATTGAAGTATCTTTCTAAGCATAAACATAACGTACAGTATGTGCGTTATGCATGACAGTCTATACACTGTTGGTGTATCTGTAGTTTCTGTAATATCATTACAATGGACAATGACAGGAGAAAAAAAATGGACCAGTTTCTGTTTCAAAGTACGTCATATGGTTTTTCTAAGGCCTCACCCAGCCAAACCAAAAATAACCAAAACTGGCCGTGAAACTATAGCAGCAGATGGAAATGGGAGGGGAAAGTATCCTACACTAGGATTAGCAGATACAGATTTATGTATCCATGTGCTTTGTGTTTATAGGCATCACGGCTGGCTTTAGTATTGTTCCCATAATTCCTCTGATTTGAGGATACAATGGCATCACAGCAGTTCACTGAACCATATTAATCAAGCATAACCCATCTTACAATCCTAGCAATTGCTTATAATATAAAGCATATATATATATATGTGTGTGTCTGAAAAATAAACAACAATTTTAAACACATACTACTAATTTATTCCAAAATAACCCTGCTGTAAAGTTTGTGTGCCACCTAGAGGCTTAACTGTGAGTTTTTAAAAATTATTATATTATGCATTTGACATCGTCGTCTGAAAATATTTTACAGCTAGTTGTTATGCGATGAAATAAGACATTCAAAACCATCAAATGTAATTATCTAGATTGAAGACCTGGCAGTTTTTATTTTAAATTTAATGTGGTTTGTTCAAGTTGCAAGCTCTATATTAAAAGTGGAAACCTGGGATGTGGGGTGTGTGACCCTATTTAGTTGTGTTGGGGGGAAGCACATGACATGTCATGTTCTTCTAGTCTTCATATTCTGATACATAAATGACTATTTTCATCAATTTAATCCTTCGTTAATACATCCACTCTTACTAACCCAAAACTCTAGCTCAAAACTTGATGTTTAGTACTTAGTAATTACTTAGTAATTTGGAGAGCAAGAGTTATTCATTCTGTTATCTAAAATGCCATATTGTTCCATGAAAAAGGTAGTTGTAGGTTTGGCTATGAAGAATTTATTACTCACTTGGGTTTCAGTGAATGAGATAAGTCCATTAGCTAGGGCTTTTTTGGAATCTTTGATCTCTAATTAATGGAGCTCGTATCTTTTGTAGTTTTTATTCTTATTAACCTTCATCATCATTATTGTATTTTTTATGTACGTAGCAGATTGTCAAATGATCCATGGCCAATTAAAGTGTTTACAATTTTTTTCATTAAGGCCAAAAATGCAAACATGATTAGAAGTGAGTACAATAAATTCAGTGAAAAAATGTACAACAGGGCCACCTTAACAATGTTAGAAACATAGTGCAACCCAGGTGAAATGCAGACTCCCTTTTGCTCTTTGTTTTGTGCTCACGGTGAATAAGTACAGCAAGCAGTAAATAGCATAACCTGACACAGGTGAGTCTTCAGGAGGCAGAGGGGGTTGAGCTGTCCTGTGGATAACTATTTCTGTGGGAAGTAACTCCAGCACTGAGTGGAGTGAGAGAGGACAACAAATGAGCTCTGGGTGTTAGGAGAAATGAGAGGGGTTACGGAAAGTCTGGTGGAAGAGGAGGATTTCACAGGGGGCAGAGGGAGAGATAATGAGGAACAGAGTGGTGGAGTCAGCAGTAGTTGGGAAAAAGAATCTTGAAACGTTAAGTGTTATTGATATCTTTTCTCTTATTTCTATCTCCGGAAGACACCAGTATAACATCATTATTGCCATATCAGGTCAGGTTGGTCTCTAATAATAATGACACATCTGAGTTGTGTCATCATTTAGACTGATGCCTTCCCTGCACTATTAACAAGAGTCTTTGTGTAATGTCCTGGGATTTCTTTTGGATATTTGAGGATTTTCAAAGGATTCAAAGGAGCTCTTTTGGTTCTTTTTATTCCTTGTAAAACATAAACTGTGTAAGTCCCCCTCTCTTCCAAGATGAACTGCAAATTCCTTACCCTCCTGCATTTTATGGTAGGTCAGATATTCTGGAACAGTTTTTTTCTCAGCTGGGTCCAAGCTCTAGGTTTCTTGATATCTGAGATGCCACCTGTCACTGTGACTCTACCTCTCTGTTACTGATATCTGTCACTGCAATGCCAGCTCTCTCTTAGTAATATCTGTCACTACATTGCAAGTTCACGGTCATTGATGTCTTTCACTGTGATTCTAGAGCTCTGTTACTGATAACTGTCAATGTGATCCCAGATTTGAAGCCCTACTTTTAATTTACAATGTTTTTTGAGTGTTATTCAGGTTTCCCTAATACTGTAAATGTTATTGACAGAACTTTTTTGTCTCTAAAATTATTTTAAAATAATATACACTTCCCAGAAACCTAAGAATGATTAAAGTAATGTATGAGAGTATAACATCTGCAGATTTCAAGTTTAAAATATCTAATATTATTTTCATAGAAGTTGTGATGTGAATGAACTATAGGAACACTCCAAAAAATGAGAAGGGTTATAGCATTTCATTGTTGGACACACTGTTGATAAATTCTGTGACTGTAAAAAAATAGAATATACAAACATTGTGTTAAGGAACTATCTTAACTAAAGGCAAGAGTCTTTGACAAAAAAGTGAGGCTGAAGAAGGGTTTCAACATTTAATTGTCAGAAGTTGGGTTGATCTGGACTCCAACTCCATTTCCAACTCCACCAACAATCTGAACCAGGAGGAGCTCTTGGGTCTGTTGAGTAGTTGCCCCTGGTTGCCAGGCGTTCACAACAAACAGAAATTCAGTATACACAATGGGTGTGGCTGTAATTGTCTAATGGGTGTAGCTGAAATTGTGTCATGCTCCTGCTAGTGCCACTATGAAAAACTCAGGATTTCCTGGGCTGAGTTTTTTTCTTATTTTTTAATAGACTGTTTTTTAATATTTATTCTGATGCAAGATTTGTTATGTTGTCTTTTCTGTAGTTTTAATCTGTTAACTACTATAAAGAGTGCAATATTTATTTTTTTAGAATTTGTACCTCGAACATATGGCACAACAGAACAACAGTTCCAAGTTCATTTGTTAAAAATCATTCAGCCTTTTATGTCACAATTTATTTACTGTATGTAATGAGATTTTAAACATAAGAATAAATGTGCATTATCTATCCTATAAACAAACAATATTTAGGTATTTTAATATATTATCTGTTTTCATATTGTAACTACATATTCTTGTATGATTGGGTTCCAGAGGAAGTAGTTTTGAAGACAATATCACATGAAACTATGTCAACACTTGTCGAAGTGTATTTCTGATTTCATTTTTGGATTTCAGTAGTTGTCTAAGCAACTGTTGGCACATACTCCCAATTCTCCCATTTATTCATTTATAAATATACTATGAAATTAATATTAATGAGTTTTAGATTTTTTACTTTGAAACCACATCTCCTTAGGAACAGGTCAAAGTTTAATCCATGATGAAAAGAAAAGAGACACAACATTTCAGCTGTGGACACCTGTCAACCAGAACACCTGAAGAAGGCTCCACAGCTGAAATTATGCGCCTCAGCATGGGGTAAACCTTTATTTGTTTCTTCACAGCCTAGGCGTGCTGACGCATCCACCTACTTGGACAGCTCCTTAGTTTTCATATACCGATAGTTTTAGATATTTTTGGAATTGGATTAGAGTGATGCATCTATTGTCAGTGTCCGACAAATACTGCACAATGTAGTTGATTTACTAAATTGATTTACGAATCATCAAATAGGAAAAATCAGGGCTGGGCATTCTTGGTCCTTTGAGAAAGGACCTGTATGTGGCTTTCTGTGTCCCACAGAAGAATTAAAGGTTCACAGTATTTTGTTTATCAGACATTTTCTGTTCAGCTTTTTGTGTCTGCTCTGTGTAAGTTCCGCTTTACTGGTGTCCTGGAATATGGAGACTGCTGAATAATACACTTTTGAAGGTACGACGGGCCTCCTGCCTGTTCATTTCTGTCTTTTGAGAAGAATAAACCATTGTTGATTGTTTGGTTATTCATGTATGTTGCCTTGGTCAAGAAAAAAAGTTTGGGAAGTTCCTGTTTCTGCTAGTGCCTGTTCTCAGGACAGAGAGAAATTACCAAGTGAATTGGTTATGAACTTTTTAATGAAGAAACGAATGAACGCTTGACTGTTTTTGTAGATTTCTGCCTCTATCTGTTGATTTAAGTTTGGATTTATTAGTCCCACAAAAACAGACACTTTTAAATTAGTGTCCAGACAACAATTTTAGTTTCATTTTCTGTGGAATGCAAATCAAATTATCAAAATAATTTACGCTATAGAACAATGATACCATAAGCAGTCTACATTGAAAAATGATTAGAATACAGAATGTACTGTGTTCAGATTTGTATTGCTTAATATTTTAAGCAACTGTTTAAAAAAGGATATAGATTTGTGTGGATAAATTAATTGCAATCAGGAGATTAAATCCTACTAACCAAGAGAATTACTCTAGCTAAAACTGAGGTTTCTCTTCTGAAGGGAATAACCACACAAATTTTGTCTTGCAGGAAGTATGAATCTATTTTCGTATTACTTTAATGAAGATATGAGCAATTTCTTTTAAACCATATGCTTTAGAAGCTTAAAAGGCTGAGGTTAGGCACATGAGTGAGTGAGTGAATATTCAGATTTTGAGCAGGGAAACTTTTAATATCGCTCATTTGGGACTTCCCTGACCTTTTGAAAATAGAAAACAAAACCTAGCACACAGCCATTTATGAGACAAAGTTTTGATGACATTGCAAACCATCTTTTCAGAATCTGGGAACTTCTAAGCTATACTTAACATTACAAAATATTGTGATATGCTACCTTGTAAACACATTTAAAAATACCTTTGTGTTTAAAGGTCAAATATCTACCCTATGAAAGAAGGAATATTAATTCTTACACATTAGTGTCTACATGTTTTTATATGTTAGTAAAATATTTTTTTCTAGGTTATTTAATGTTGTTTTACTTTAGCTTGTTCGGGATGACCTTTTTGTTATTAAGTGACCATTATAAATATTAATTGGAAGTTTAGAATATAGGTTTTAATAATGATTTTTAAAGGGGATGAGAATTGTATTTTCAAAACCTTTGCTCTCTTCTGCTATGAGCTCTTTGGAGCCTTGGAAGACAGTTTCTGAAGCTGAAGATTAAGTAGGAACATCTTGGGTCAACACAACAACAGAAAGGCTTCTACCAGCACAGTAAAAAGAAACGTGCCTCTTGAATGAGGATCTACGCAAGAGAAGACTGTTTGATGTAGAGGAATGGTATTGTCTAACACAACTGCTAGCCACCACTTGAAACATCCATCCATTTTCTAACTGCTTTATTATCAAGTGGGAGATCTGGAGCAAGCAACAGGTGCAAAACAAGATACACCTCAGATGGGACAGCAGTCCATTGCAGGGAGCACACATTTCAAGATAGAGCTGCATCATGTTGTAAGAATTAATGAATTCCCCCGTATGGTATGTACAGTATGTTATGTATGCAGATACCTTCATTGGCTCTTTTTTCACCATATCCACGTTTTTTCTATATTGGCATCCATTTACAGGTTAACAAGTTGGTCGAGAGTTTATCTCCCTGTGACTAAGGCAAGGATCTTTTAGAATAGATGTTACTTTTTTTGACAAAACTTTTCCTGAAACTGCTTTTTTCATAGAAAGGCAGGGCAGAAATATCTCCATTACATTCTGGAGCACTTGTTCACTTATTAAGGCGGTAAACTGTAAAACTCCCTCACATAACACTGAAAGTGTCATTTTTTTTCTAGCAGTGACTTTCTTTCTCTTAAATGCTCACTCTGTTCGTAGTGTTCTTTCCCTTTCTGCGCTCTGTCATCCCTCCCAATACACCACTTGGGAAATCCCAGTTTCACCTCTGTCTCCTCAATGCAAACCACAGAGGCCTGAACACAACACTCCACTCTGATTTTCTGTATTCAGAAATCAGGAAGGTGTTGCTCAGCTACAGAGTCCTGGAGAACAGAGTTTAGTTTACATGACCTATTATTTTTAAGAACTAAGTACTATAATGCTAAATTTCCTGGAGCTTACATAACTCTGACTTGATAAGGGTTCTTGTCAGGGTTCTGGTGCCATCTACATTATTAATTATAAGGGTCTGAATCTCCTGATTTACTTCCTAGCTTAACAGATTCAGATTTTGATCAATATTTTTTTCTTGCTGTTGTCACCCATAAAAATAAAGTCCACCATTCTGTTCCCTAGACAGAATCCACTCTGTGTCTCTTGTAAGCTCACTTCTGGAACGTAAATCAAGATTGTGGGTTAGTGTTTTTATGGCATGTCTCAAGCTCTTTCTTCCATACCTGTTCTGCTACCTGTTCTCATCACAGATTCATCCATATTGTAAAGATTTTGCAGGATTCAATTAATCATACTACAGTACATGTAATGTGCAGAGTTAGAGTGCTGCACTGCTGGTACCTCTCTGCACCCAATAGACCAAGCAACATAGCTTCCTGAACAAAAGCCTTGGTCCTTTTAAAATATCAAAGCATAATTTAGAATTAATACATATTTGTTTCTTGTAATTCCTTAAATATCTTCTTAATATCTGCTAACTTCATTGTGACAGAATACAGAGGTGGAAGTGTGAACTGAGCAGACAAAAGAAATCGAGCCCACCATTATGATACGTGTCAATACAAACCACTTTTAGACATACAACATTTCCCTGCATGTGTTCACATCCGTTTGTGCGCTGTAGGTAATGGCAGTTTTGCTGGAATTATAAAAATGTTTTCTGTGTGTACCACATTTTTTTTGGTTTTTACTAGATGAAAAACCTCCAGAAGAAATCATCATCATTGTGCATTTGTATCACTTTTAGGATAACTGTAAAAATAAACACGTCAGCTGTAAGATGAAAATTCACAAAACCCGGCTGCAAACTAATAAACATCATTTTAGCAAAGCAAACAGTAATATAGTGAGAAATGTGTATTATTTGCAGGGAAGAGTTTTGTCAACATGTTCAGAGAGTGCTCTCTATAAAGGATCTAGAGAAATGCATGTGTTTGTGTGTTGTATATTATATTGCGATCAAATTTTGTTTTGTTTTCAAAGCATTTAAACTGCATTGGGTGGCATCATGTCCATGGCAACTCTTGTGCTCTAGGTTTGATTCTGGAATTGGGCGTCTTCTATGTGGAGAGTCTCTAAATTGTTGTTCTGGTTTTCACATGTGCACTGTCATGGATTACTGTCCCATGTGGGATGTTGTCCCTTCATCTGGGTGGCCACTGCCTATATCAGAAGTAAATCAGTATGATAAAGGATATCTGGACAGACAACATTAACAGACCAGTTTATGCTTATAAGGTTTTGCTGGATTTTAAATCTACAGCAGTTCCATTTCCATCAATCTGCTTGCTCCATTTGATCAGCAAAAAAAAAAGGTCAAATTGACCATTTAATGTCAAATTGCATTTATAATCAAAATAATTGCTTACACTTATATAGTGCATTTCTGGACACTCCACTCAAAGCGCTTTACAGATCATGGGGAATCCCCTCCACCAATGTGCAGCATCCACCTGGATGATGTGACGGCAGCCATAGTGTTTTGGCTTGTTAAATGTATTTGGGTTAACTAATTGTTTTGTATTACTTTATCCAAAGCTATGTGCAACATACATGAGGAAACAGTCACTGGAATCATCGGCCGACCAGTGATCATCCCCTGTGTTTACAAGACAGAAAAGCCCATTGACTTGAAGGAAATGAGGGTCTATTGGCAAGTGGAAAAGAAGGACAAAACAGTCCACGTGTTCAATAAAGGACAAGAGGAGATGCAACATGTTACTGAAGAATATAGAAATAGAACAAGCTTCTTCCTGAAGGAATTAAGGCAGGGAAATATTTCTGTACAGCTATCTCCTGTCAAACCAACAGATGATGAAGTGTATATTGCACTCACTCAGGAGAAAGGCAACATGAAGACATTATGCAAAATTAAAGTTCGTGTTGGAGGTAAGTTATTTTAATGCGCCAAAATGACAAAGACTAAAACTAAAACATTTGAAAACAACAATCAGCGTGCAGTACTTAATTATGAGAGGAAAGAGTGAATTGGGCTTGACAGCTCTGACTGAGTGATCCTGCAGAGTTGTTAGAAATCAGGGGTGTCAACATTAATGTAAACTTACAGTATACATTTAACTGCACTTTGAAATATTCCAAATTGAAATATATGGAAGTCATATTGAAATTCATTTTGAATTGTTATAAAACAGTTGATAATAAACCCAAATGTATGTCCACCACAACAGTCCTCAGAGATAACTATTTGACTTCATTGATATGTTCATTATTATTATTAATAATAATAATAATAATAGTTAGTGGTTGGGGACGTTTCTTAGACACTTATTTGGAAAGATGCAAGTAGATGTAAGGTTTATTCCATGCTGAAAAAAGGAAGAAGAAAGAGAGCACAATGTTTCGGCCGTGGAGCCTTCTTCAGGTGTGATGAATCATCACAGATTCACCCATATTGTAAAGATTTTGCAGGATTCAATTAATCAAACTACAGTACCTGTAATGTGCAGAGTTAGAGTGCTGCACTGCTGGTACCTCTCTGCACCCAATAGACCAAGCAACATAGCTTCCTGAACAAAAGCCTTGGTCCTTTTAAAATATCAAAGCATAATTTAGAATTAATACATATTTGTTTCTTGTAATTCCTTAAATATCTTCTTAATATCTGCTAACTTCATTGTGACAGAATACAGAGGTGGAAGTGTGAACTGAGCAGACAAAAGAAATCGAGCCCACCATTATGATACGTGTCAATACAAACCACTTTTAGACATACAACATTTCCCTGCATGTGTTCACATCCGTTTGTGCGCCGTAGGTAATGGCAGTTTTGCTGGAATTATAAAAATGTTTTCTGTGTGTACCACATTTTTTTTGGTTTTTACTAGATGAAAAACTTCCAGAAGAAATCATCATCATTGTGCATTTGTATCACTTTTAGGATAACTGTAAAAATAAACACGTCAGCTGTAAGATGAAAATTCACAAAACCCGGCTGCAAACTAATAAACATCATTTTAGCAAAGCAAGCAGTAATATAGTGAGAAATGTGTATTATTTGCAGGGAAGAGTTTTGACAACATGTTCAGAGAGTGCTTTCTATAAAGGATCTAGAGAAATGCATGTGTTTGTGTGTTGTATATTATATTGCGATCAAATTTTGTTTTGTTTTCAAAGCATTTAAACTGCATTGGGTGGCATCATGTCCATGGCAACTCTTGTGCTCTAGGTTTGATTCTGGAATTGGGCGTCTTCTATGTGGAGAGTCTCTAAATTGTTGTTCTGGTTTTCACATGTGCACTGTCATGGATTACTGTCCCATGTGGGATGTAATGTCCCATGTGGGCCACCCAGATGAAGATCCCTTCATCTGGGTGGCCACTGCCTATATCAGAAGTAAATCAGTATGCTAAAGGATATCTGGACAAACAACATTAACAGACCAGTATATGCTTACAAGGTTTTGCTGGATTTTAAATCTACAGCAGTAGATTCCATTTCCATCAATATGCTTGACACCTGAAGAAGGCTCCACGGCTGAAACATTGTGTTCTCTTTCTTCTTCCTTTATTCAGCATGGAATAAACATATTACTTGTTCCTTTGCTGCCTACGCGTGCTGACGCAGCTACCCACCTGAACTACTATTTGGAAAGATGACTAGTTCCTGCTCAGGAGTGCCAGTGGCCTTCTCAGAGTCTCTCAAGATATTTCTCCTTGCCTCCCACTCTGTACAATCCACCACTTCTCACTGTGGGCTCCCTCTGCTCCTCTGACTGCACCTTCCCCTACTCTCCTTACTCCCGACTGCCTGTAAGCTTTACTTAAATTAATAATACTAATTATGATTATTTTCCTCTGTAGGAAGCTTCAGTGTACCAGCCTTAACAGTAAAGACCTGCACACAAGATGAGGATATAAAGTTAGAGTGCACTTCCCAGGGAGGGTATCCCCAGCCCTCTGTCAACTGGACCATTCACAGCCAAGGAGCCGTGCTACAGCCAGAGAAAACTGAGACTCAGTTCACTCAGGACCCGGAGAGCAGCTTGCTGTCTGTTATCAGCACTGTGACTATCAATAGAACAAAAGCAAATAATATGACGGCCAGCTGCTCCATTATCAATGAAATCCTGGAAGAGAACAAGACCTCTCCTTCCAAAACATGTGATGACCCCAGAAAGGATACACAGGGTGAGAAGAAAACTTTGTGCCCATCTGTGTTCAAATGCTCTTTCTTTTTCATTTCCTTTTGTCCATTCTCCCCTAACTTGTGTTCCTGTTTTTTAATTCAGAAAATTCATTCAAAAATACAAGATTTGTATAAATAGTATTGTAATTTTAATATACTAGACATGTTTAGAAAAAATAGCAGAACTGAAACTGGATGTAATACTCTAATTGGATGACATTATGATTTTTTTTATTACTTTGTTTTAGAGACGCCCCCTGAGGATTCCTCACATTCCAAAATCTGGATAAGTCTGCCTGTAATTCTTTCATTTATAGTTCTTGGATTGATAGGCAGCAGAAAATACTTCAGTAAACGTAAGTGATGGATTTTCCTGTTTGAATGTACTGTATCTGAATGAGGACAGAGAAACGGATGGAGATGTTCATTAATTTACATGTTTAAAAAGGAAACAATCTAATAATGTGTGATGTTTTATAGATTATAACTTCTTTACACTTTAATTGTGAAACACTAGGGTTGTCTAAGAGTTTCAATGCCTTTAGTAACAGGCTTTACAAAAATAAACTATAGATGACATATAGGCCTCTTAAGAGAACTGGAATATACCTATAGGTTATTGTTGAGGGTGATTTTATGATTATATAAACAAAAATGAATTCCAATAATTCTTATCAAACCTTTTGGTAATAAGGAGACTAGGATGCTTAGATATGAGCCATATATAATAACAGCATTATAACACCTTCCAAAAGATTAGAGAATAGTATGTCTATTAGGAGTGACCCACCCTCTTCAAATTAAAGACTCTGGGAAAGGCCCAGCACTTAGTACGTACCATATAAAGTCTGTAAAGTCTGTAAAGTCCACTCCATAAATTTAGATCTGTATTTTGGAAAAGGTCGTACTAACCCATACAGTTAGTAAACAGTTAGCATGTTAGTGCATGAGACAATTCAGACAACATCAAGGGTTTACAAGCAAGGATAAGTAACTGAAAGAAGTAGAGCCCATAATAGGGCGTTCAAGCTTTTGAACCACAGTGATGGAAGGAAAATAGATAAGTACTTTATTGTCCACTACTATGGAAATGTATCTTTGGCTTCTACAAGCAAAACATAAAAGTCACGTAAAATCACATAAAGTAAATGAAATCGCAACAACACTATGTAATACTTAAATGAATAGGTAGTGGGGGTAGATGTTTACATCCATTCATTGTGCAGTTTAATTGTACAGGGGACAAAAGGGGCGTCTATTTCCCAATTATTTTTCTTGCCATTTTCACAATCCTGGACAGTTTGGTTTTGCTTTTCAACCCCAGGTTTCCATACCAAACTGTCTTAAATGCAGGATGCTCTCAACAAAGCTCATATATGCCATCTCTAGGACAGAGATGTGTCCTATGTGATTGTTGAAATGTGGTTCCATATTTTGCTAAATTACCACTGAAATATTCCATATCTTCATGGACGTACAGTATGTGAATATCTACAAGAATCAATGACACAGCATTTTACAGTAATCTATGTTCTGGTCTATTTAATATTCTGCTACAGTACCTCAGTAAAAGATTTATTTAAAAAAATACCTTGAATGTACATTCATATTTAAGAATATTCATTTTTAGAACAATACCAGTTTTTTTTTAGAATGGCAGAAGGCAGTGAGTTTTATGTTAATGTCAGCCTTTTCTGTTTCTGGACATTGGTTTTCTCATTCAGACTGTAAGAACCTGCCACCAAACAGACATGAGAGACAGGTCTCTGTGTGTCACAGAGCTATGGCAGCACCTCCATCAGGAACACAAGCCACCACACACACTGTAAATTCGCTGGCACATTTCTCAGTGCTCTGTGCCCTTACGCTGTGCTGACTGGTGTTGATAGCAAAATCACTACAGCACTTTCAGTTCATTATTGACTGAATGGCCATTGCCGAGTTGAGTTGTACCATGATGCTCACCTAAAACATCAATGGGCTGGACACATACAGTACCAGGGACACAATTGAATCAGTGAAGCATTTGTAGTTGATTCAAAGAGTGAAGAATAGTCCTTAAAAGGACAAGATGCAAATACCTTTGCAGAAACAAACTGAAGTTCATGTATTCATCATCATGAATTAAATCATTGGCCGGACATCTTTTTCTTGATTATGTCCGCAAACAAACAAAAACAAACCAAATAACCACAAATAAAACTGAAAGCACCAAAAGCATGATTTTACCTAAGTATAGTATATATCAATAAATGTAATTTATGATGATGGATTAAATGCATTTTAATTGTATTCAATTTTCTTTTTCAATATATTTCACTATAGTATGCATTTTTACTGTTTAATAATGCTCAGGTGGTCCAAACTGCACTTTACCAATATTTTTATTCTTAGGTGCTGCCTTCCAAAGATATTAATCTTAGGTGGGGAAGCAGGCATTAGGATATATGTTAATAAATTAAAAAGTTAATTTACAACTTCATCCTCTCACTGTTATTTACTTTTCTTTTCTAGAAAACATTTTTCAGTGCCTCAGAAAATCAAATAATATGAATCCTGATGAAGGTACAGATTTTCATTTTTAAAATGATTACCTCAAATATGTTGTGTATTGTTTGTGGAAATCCATAGGCCATTTGCCATCCCAGAGCACTAAAAAAGGATAACCCCTGCAAAATCTTGGACCAGAAAACTATCAGCCAGTGACAGTTTTTATCTGTAGTATTTTACTGTAGCCACAACTGTAGATTTATCCAATCCCATTGGATATGTGGTGTGGCATTGCTTTTTACATGACATCTGGATGTCATCAGTGAGGTCTGTGATATAATTTGGAAAGGCTACTTCACCCATATTTGGTGTTCTCACAATGCACTGCTCTGTGTTGAAAGTGCCTGAACATCTGAACCTGTACTTCAGAGATTTGTGGTGCAGAGAGTGAAGTTAGTTTGAAAGTTGTTCTCTCACAGGTCTTCCTGTTCTCTGTGGAGGCGGATGCCAGTTATCCCCTGCTCAATTTTTACCAGCCTTGGTGGGCTTCAACATCCAGAAATCAAACAGCTGACCTCTGGACTTGGCTGACTTACTGCCAAGCAGGAGAGTCCCTTCCATCATAAAAACATGTTATGATGAGCGTTTCTGTCACTTGTGATTGATTCATTATGGGGTGTACATTTTTAGTGAATATTATTTAACTCCAGAATGTAATATTTTGCAAAAACGTGTACAAACACAGAACTTCTTTAATCCCAAAACTATATTTATAAGAATATATCAGATTAATTAATTTTAATTTGATCATTTTTCCTCCCCATTTAGAGTCTGGCCTCCCGCTTAACCACACATCTCAGCATTTAACGAAGACACCGCCTAATCAAGTAGGTTTTTCACTTTATTTCATGTGAAATATATGGGAACCATTTAGGCTTCTTGTATTGTAGTTGATATTAAACCAACCCTAACAATCACTTTTTACTTCACTCTCCTTTTTACGTATTCAAATTGCAGTTACAGCTATTCTCTGTGTAAATACATTAATTTACAGGCTTTCAGTGTTTTGTTTCACAGTGACATACTTCCATTATAAATGAAAGAAGTCAATGCCTGTTCAATTTAGAAAAACAAAACAATTGCCTTCTTGGTGTATTTTTTATCCTTACTATGATTATTTAAAATATCATAGATATGACTTTTGCACACTATGTGCATCTCAGTCATCAAAAAAGAATGCTGTTTTGATGTTTTGAGAAAAGTAATAAAAGCTGATAAAAATAATGTGCAAACATACCACATCCTCACATCACATAGTGTAACTATGTCAGTTGTCCATTGGTGCAATAATAAAATGCAAACTGTATTACAGTGACTGTGATGTTCAGTGAAAACTTAGTACATTGAGGTGAGAGCTTAAATGTTAAAGCCACTTTAAACTTACAGTTTTAGTAAACATCTCTTGATGAATCATATTTGGACTGGTTCCACCTGCTAAGTTGGATGAATGAAGTCAAACAATTATTGAACCTCAGATTACTAAAGGGCATATTTAATATTGTTTAATATTACCAGCCTTGGCCTGCCTTGTTACAGCAGTGACCTACCTGTCTAACCCCAAATCCCTGTAGTGCAAGTAAAATTATTGAAATTTCAATTTATTTCTTTACTGTTTTTTAGTCAGTCTTACAGAAAGAATTGCCTAATTAAATATATACTGTATATAATCAGCAAAAATGAGATAGCCACTGTTTAGAGTCCATTTTCACAAATGATTAAGGTTACAAGCTCTCGTAAAAGTCAGGTGTTAAGTAGCTAATGTAAATTAACTTACTTGTTATTTTCGAATTATTGGCTTGTGGGGATTGTAAAATTATATTACTGTATTTTGCTCTTTCCTTTGTCCAATATTCTATTCTTGAAAACCTGAAATGTAAAAAAAAAACATTGTGATCAGGAATTTTATCTGTTTATCAGAGGCAATGGGAGGCAATGAAAGTCACAGATATACTGTAATTTATATTATATAATTACATTATATAATGTAATTATACATTATAATTAATGCATTATAAATTATTTTTATAATGTAATACATTATAAATAATGTATTAATGGGGTGGAGCAGTGTGTCACGCCCTCTGCAGCCAGAGGGTGCTCCTTCTCTGTCCTGTCCCTAGTTTCCGGTCTGCTGTCCTTCCTGTCCCTCTCTTTCCCTTGGGCTATATATTTCCGGGTCTTGCACTCTGTCCTGGCTCAGCCCCACGTCCGCTCCCTGAGGGTATAGGTTTCTATACGGCATTCCTGAACTCTTTGCACTAATGAGCCCGGGCCTTTTTCCCGTCTCGCCGCTACGCATATGGGTCTTTTTCTGCTCTCCTGCTCCCCACGGTTAGTCCCTTTGAACGTCCGTGACACAGTGGCTCTGTGGCTAAGGGTCTGTGGCTGGAAAATTGCCGGTTCAAATCCCACAGCTGGCAGAGGAATCCTACTCCGTTGGGCCCCTGAGCAAGGCCCTTAACCCCAGCTGCTCCAGGGGCACTGTACAATGGCAGACCCTGCGCTCTGAACCCAGGCTCTCTCTGTCTGTGTGTCTCATAGAGAGCAAGATGGGGAATGTGAAAAGACAATTCCTAATGCAAGAAATTGTAAAGGGTTAATAAAGTGATTTTAATTTCCATTTATTATTTTATAATTTCTGTGGTTAACACAGAGCACCTGTTTTAAAGGTGACATTATATAGAACAGCACGATAAATTAATTTCTCTTAATCTGTGGAAGAAGCGATTGGTAGATTCTGCTAGGGCAATCAGAGAATGGAGAGAGCTGATATGAAGGCAGCAGACAAAACAGAGAGAGTGCATACTTTACTAATATCAAATAAAAACAAAAACCATTTAGAGCATTAGGTATTGATTTGTTTCCTTTTTTTTCTTAACTCCACAGAAACAATCACCTCCAACACTAATAGCCTCTGAAGAGCACCCTTGGATAACAGAGAACACAGAAGAAGAAAGGAAAACCTAACCTTAACTCTTGATGGTGAAAATGAGGGACAGCTGTGCTGAGAAAAAAAACCACATCGGATATGCAAGCTCAGAATGTGCAGTATTTCTCGAGGGTTAATCTGGAAACTGAACAAAAAAACTGAAGTTAACAACTGGAAAATCTTCTTGTTTGTTGCAGACTAATGTTGTTCTTTTTATATATATGGCACTCCTTCAAATCCTTGACATGGAGCCACATTTGACTTGCAATCAAAACTGTTGTTTCCTTCATTGAAAAAAAAAACATCAGATTGAGTTTTCAAGAGACTTTCATGGTGCTCTGCACAGTTGCACAGTTTCAGTGGTGAGTGGAGGAGATTGGAATTTCTGTTCTCATAGGTTCATTGGAATGTGGATTGCCAGGAGAAACAAAACAATGGATAGCTGAGAGAGTTGAGTACTGTCTTTAAATCCTGTAGAGGACCAGGTGCAACAAGTCTCGACTGTTGCCCTTTCGATGTGGAATAATGTTGAAGAGAAGGTCTGCTTTTTCTTCTTTGAAGAAATCTAATACTAATATGAAAACTGAAGAAAGAACCTCACCTCAGGGTGACAGAATGACTGATTTAGTGAGAAAAGAAGAACTACACGGCAACAGAAAGGTTATAGGAAAGCTTTGGTTATTTCACTGGAAAGAATTCTGGATTGGAAAACCCCAAGGGCCTGGCGGGGTAATTTCCAAGGCCGGAATGATACAGCAACAAAGACTTTTCAAAATTTGTACTTCTAGTCAACAGACACCTATGTGGGGCAGGCTATATACTTAGGATGCCAATTAAACATGAAGTGTGTTGCAGATTGTATTGTGTTTAATGTGCCAGTTTTCCGGCAGGTCAAATAAGACATTGAAAACATACAGTTAACTCTAAGAACCCTTCTTAGAAATTAATATTGAAACATATTTTTTTCTATTTTTATTGCTCTAATTTATTTTGTATATGTGTTAGCTACACATAAACAAATGCATTAACAAGTGAAATAAGACTGTCGTCAAAATGAGCAAACCTCTTGGTGTAATTTATCTAGTCTAATAAACTGACTGCAAGGGAGCATGGAACTGTGGAATATGTTTCTTGCTGTCTTTGCAAAGGACACTTGTCTACTGTCCTTTGGTATTCTGTGATGTGCTCATCCTGCTGGCTGTCTCTTACTATTATGTGTTTGCTTTTTTGGGGCAGTTTTGTGTGCAGTTTTAATGTCTGTTCCAGTTTCAAGGGAATATCTTTCATTTATCTGTGAGAAAGGGCAGAGTTCTTACATGAATCTGCATGTAAGGGGCAGCAATATCAGAGATATAAGCTAACCTCCCATTTATAGATATAACCTCTTACATAAGACAGACATTTCCTTTTAAAAACCAAAAGAAATTCAGTTTTCTGCATTTGGATTTCGCTGTTTGTTTAAATGTCAATAGAATTCAAAGTCTTTTTTACTGACCATCAGAATATTTGAATTTACAGTTTGTTATTAATAAGCAAGACTGTTGTGGGATTTACTTTAGCAGCACAAGATCCTTTGTGCTTAAAAATAACCACATATTTATTACAGGTATTTGTGATAGTTCTCAGCTTTTCTTTCCACTACTGGTTTTACATTTGCATGTTTCCATAACTCATAGGTAGATCATTTCCATAACCCAACCACATCAGCTTATGACCTAGAGCCCATCCTAGTCTCCCTTGGTATGAATATATTTTTATTGTTCCCAAGGGGAATGTTGTAATTGTTAGCACTTAGATAGGGCACCCAGGATTACCCTCCAGTGCTGCTGGTGCTCATTGCTCCAACTGGGTAGACTGAATAAGTAGTAAATACACAACACAAATCCAGTGGTTTCCAGTGAACCACAAAGAGGAGGGTATGTATTATTTCAAATGTACTTGTAACCATCAACATTTAACAAATTTGGGTGCTTCTGTATCTTTCTCCACAGGTACGCACAGAACAGCCAATTCAATTTAAATGAGTCCCACTTTAGTAAGAAGGACAGAAGTGATTAATCTGTTGGATCAGAAGTCACCAGGATCAGGATATGAATATTTTTGGGGGCTACTTTCAACCTATAGTTAATATATCTGCTTTGTCCAAATGTGTTCCACTTGCTCCATAGGAATTTAGTATCTACCTCCTATTTATGAATATGAACAAAGTTATTTGAATATTTTAGTTGATTTTATAACAATTTCTAAATTTGTTATTTTAGAAATCATACTACTGTATTGTTGTTGCTGAGGTCTTGCTTTTTAAGCTGTATTCCATTTGAGTTTTTAAATAGGTAATTGAGATAGTTTTCACTGTATACAAGCCAATTTCACCATATTGTATATTAACCTTAACCTTAATTTCAACCTTGGCACACATCTAAAGCAGGTTTTGCATTGAGGAGACTTGTAATACCATGAAGTGTGCATTGATCAAGAGCACTTTAAAATCCCTGAAAATGATATATAGGTTATATATATATATAGAATATAGAATTCACTGTATGTAGAAAATGATGTTGGTGTGCAGAATGTGGAGTACTTTAATGAACAGAAGTGGAAGAAAATAAAGCCGTTACCCCACCTACTAAGTACAGTACTGCAATTTGCTAAATGAGAAGCACCACTAATAATTGGAATTTGAAACTGTCCATTGTCTGTGGTTAAAAATCAAGTAGTGTGGTCTCAAAAAATAACTTTGCTAATTTGTGCATGCTGCTACAAATTTCTCTCATAAGTTGCCTGAAGTTAACCTTTTCCTTTTATAAAGATGCATTTTTAGTGACTTTAAAGATGTGAGTTTCAATTAAATGTGTCTGGGATGTCTTTGAGAACTGACTGTGCTGATTACAGTCCTGGTATCTTGACACTTTTTTAACAAATGTTGATGTAATTGCATTTTTTTTTAGTAGTAACTAATATCAAGTCTATGGGAAAGTAAATTTAAACCCGAGATCAGAAAGCAATTCTTTACACAAAGTGCTGTGGGCGTATGGAGCAAAACGTATAACCATTCTGTTGAAGCTGTCTTTTTTTAAAAAACAACTAGATGAGACCCTGGTATGAATTGTCTATAAGCAGCCAAACAAGCTAGATGGGCTGAACAACTTCCTCCCATTTGCATTCTACCATTCCTTCGTAAGACATACTGTACATTAGCCGCAAAAATGCACACCCCATGTCACTGAAACTTTAAGAGTAAGTCTACATGGCTAGATGTTTTTCAAGTTATAAAAAGGCTTGTCAGTTTATTTAAGCTGTAGCAGTATACTGCTGGGTTTCTTGGAACAAAAGATATTGGCTCTTTAAGGCATTCAAATAGTGGAATTACTGTCTCCCCCTCTGCCAGACAGAATCCAAATCGAAAACACCTCCAGAGAGGTGCTTATTTCACTGTACCAAGAATTTCAGGTAGGCCCAGTCTGAGTCTCTGGACATTGACCCACAAGGCTTAAAACAAATTGAACACCCAGTAGTTAGTTAGTTCCTATGTTCAGAGAATTCTTGTTCCTAGCCAATGCAAAAGCACCAACAAATTAAGACTATGGGGTGGGTAAAAGTGTGAATTTGTATTTTGTACTTGAATTTTGTTTTAAGAATACTGGAATGTATACTTGAACAAATGCAAAAGAGAATATTTTTTACATCTGTCAAATCAAGACAGTCATGTTTGTTTCCAACTTGTTTCATAATCAATAAAAAGTTGCACAAAAATATCTCCCCGGATCTTGTTTATTTTAGCAATAAGACACGAGAGGCCATGCTATATCGTGAATATAGTCACTGTTAAAAGGTGCCATTAGGCCCGACGCAAAGCATATTGAAGTATTTCAAAACCTATAATGTACATGTTAATAATACACAAATCTTTAAATATTTCAGTACTGATGTATTTTTACTTTACATTTATTACCATACGTATGTTAAAAAGGAAAAATCAATCTAGACGATGTTGTTTATCTTGAAAAAAAAGTAGAAGAGGTGAGGCAATAAGAACCAATGAAAATGTAATTATATTTAGTTTTATTATAATTCATTAATACTGTACATGATAGGATGGCGATGAAAACAGGAAAGGCATAAATACAATACACAAAAGGAGGTGAGGCACTGGTAATATAGAATACATTTTAAATCTCTGAAGATAAAAATAGACAAAAGATAGCTGTATTGATAAAAAAAAAGTCAGAGCATTTTATACCATAAAGAACATAACATTTCCCACATTTTTAATATATGTGTGCAAGTATGATGCAAAATCATTGACCAGCTACAGATCTGAAGTCACTGTGCTTATTTGTTATGAATGACAGGGAACAAAGTACAACTGGTCCAGAAGACATCCTCAGAGAAGGACAATGAGCCTAGTTAAAGAGAAAAGCACAGTGCAAAGACTTCACAGCGGATTACAAATACTCTGAAAGAGAAATGAAATGCCTAAGCATCTGGACCCAACAGTTGCAACAAACGCATGGTGTTGTGTTCCAAGGGCTGGTGTACTGTATATTGAAGTACTGTAGTACTATAGCACTAAAGTAGTGAAACAGAATGCAAAGCTAGCTGTCCACTCCTTGGAAAACCCCAGTTACACTTGGAGAAAAAGTTTGGGAAGAGTTAAATAAAACAGAATGTTTGGAAGTGACAGATGGTTTTGTAGAATAGAAAACAAACCAGGAGAAGATGTGAATATGTGTTGACTCAGTATTCACCTTTTGGATGTTGGCAAGTGCAAATGGACAAAATAAGCTCAGAACTATGCATGTTAAAATATATCAAAACAAAAGAAAATCATTTAGCAGACCTCATTCAGCCCCAGAGATTTTCCAGAAAATATTAAAATAATTACTTTAATACTTGAGGACCTAGAAGATGTGGATGTAATTATGGCATGGGGAAACAATGAAGAGATGCAAGGTGCAAATAAAGGTGAAGTGCATCACATGCATTTAATTAAAATGCAGTTTCTGAAGTATTTTACATGAAACCCTAACAGAAGAGGGTCTTGAATCAGACTCAGAGAAGGTTGTGGCAGTAAAGATCGAGAAAAGAAGTAACAAAATAGAACTGCTCTACTATCCAGGAATGTCCACATACTTAAAAAAAATCTATCCACCATTACCGGTCCTCTAAGGAAGCATCTGAAAAACTAAATTTCATGAATCTGGATGAAGTAACAAGATAAATGCTTTGATGAACTGCAGAGATTGGTGACTGAGGCTCCAATACTAAAATACTGTATTGTGCTGCTCCAGACCATTGAGGATGAGCGTGAATTCTTCCAGGTCCAAGGTCTACCTGCAGCTCCATTCCAGTACTATACCCTTACCATGTGATTCTCAGGCTCCCTGTGCAGATATTTCCAGACTGCAAAAGAATTTACTGGAACAGTAGTTTTGTAGAGAATATAAAGTTGAAACAGACCATATACACCCCAAGAAGCCCAATTAAGTCACTATCTGAAACACAACTCTGCTTTTAGAAGATGTTCTTAAAAATCCAGAAAATTCAGGCTTCCAGTAATGTACAAAGCAAGCACCAGCGATGTGTGACTAAGAACATGAGGAGCACAGAAGACTGAGAGGAGACCAAGGATATCAAGCGTGAATTGTGGTACATCTGCCAGGAGCTCTGGAGGGAAAAGGAACAGAATCAGACCTTACAAAGTGTGAAGTCACTGATTCAGGAAAACCCCACCAGCAACCAAAGGTAAAGTACCAAAAGAAAAAAAGTAAGGAGCCCTTGGGCATAGACACATTTGCAAGTCTGCATGTCCTGTGACTACAGGCATCACTCTGATATTCCTGGGCTAATAGAAGGGCTGAGAAACCAGTGCAAGTCACAAGTTTTTCAAAGAAAGACAAAACTAATATCCACAGCATACAACTAGATCACCTCCTGCCACTAATTACTAATGCGAAAAATAACTAAAAAAAGAAAGGGGACATAGGATGTAACTAAAGGTGTACGTCCTATGTCCCTGAGGCTCCGACAGGAAGAAATGTAAGTGGTATAAGAAAGAGGATCAAAGCCTTTGCTTCCTCTGCTGCCAGGAGATACTCTCACAGAGACGAGAACGAGGCGAATGGGCAGACCACCTATGGATGTAGGAACCTGCCCCCTGCAATATATTATACCAGAAAATGGAGTGTGATAAAGCATGACATGGAACCCAGGCACCATGAGAGTGCAGGAAGGTAAGTTCCCAAACTGAGAGATCATATCTGACATATCTGAAAATAGGAGTGAAAATGGACATGCAGGAGTGGTTGTGCAACAAGAGACACAATAGTCTCCATTAGCCACTCATGCTGTGATAGTCCAACATGCACTTTAAGATAAAATAATTAATTAAGAAATATGTTAAAGATGTTGAAGATGTACTGATATAAGTTGATGTATCCATTTGATGTATATTTATGTCAGTAGTCCAGAGATCTTTGTGGGGAGGGAAAACATCTTTGTGTAAAACCCATATACAGTAGTTGAAAACTTGAAATAAACAAGCTTTTCCCCCATCAAAAATTACCTTAGTCTGTTAGGTAAAACAAAAGTCATTACTTGAATGCTTAAACAGCTATCTTTTATCTGGTTGTGTCATTTGAGGGATTCATAATGGCTACCGTAATAATTCAAGTAGCCAAAAACTTCCAGAATCATTCTACTAATATTTAAAAGTGAATGGAACTTAAATGGACCTAATTTATTATGTCTTTCTTAGAACATCCGTAGGGAAGACAGGGAAAACAGACAGAAACAGACTGCAGGAGAAGAGAGTAGGAGAAAACAGAAGAGAGAGAAACTATTGTGAAAGAGTACCTCGTTCAACATTCTAAGAGACCAGAATCTGGCCAGGTAACTTGTGTAATTTGAGGACTGGATTCTTAGGTCCTCAAAAGCATTGGTTGTTTTACAGTATGTGGAAATTGCATTAAATAAAATTCAGGAAATATTTCCTAGTTGTGTTAACCTTCAGGTTCAAAACAATCTCTCATTGCTTATGCTCTGTTCTAAAAAAATATTCTAATTTTTAGTATAAATCATATAAATATAGTATAAATTTATATTTTTATTTGGTAAGACAGAAGCTCAATTTTTTCCCATTCCTGTATTTTTATCTCAGTTGCTGGGTAGAGTTCTGTGTTTTCTTTATAGAAGTTGGAACTCTGGAACTCATACTGTAAATATCTAAATACATACAGTAGCTATGATATGTTTTATGTTGTATATTTTTATTATAAATACATCATTGTTTTTTTAAGCTTGCAGAGAATGCTGATGTGAGGACCTAAATGGATTGATATTTCTTGTTTTACAATTTTAAGTTCCTAATTTGTAACACTAACAATAACAAACACAATAAGTATTCCTTTAAATACAGTCCAGCGTAAAATCTACAATATTCTTACAGAAATATTTCTAAAAATAACACAAAGTTACAAGAATACCTCACTTAGACAGAGAGCCTATTGCCTGACAGTTCCTGGTCTAAAACCCAGCTCACCCCTTTCTCTGTGAGCTCTCTGTTACTCTGAGGAAAAAGGGGGCTCTTGGCTGTACCAACACTTATCAATGAGTGTTACCTCTAATTCAGCCTTTCAGCAAAATAGACTGCTAAAGGATTAATGTATCTATGAAACTATGAATGTGTATTTCAGATTTCTATCATCTCAATTTCATTCTAGAATTCTCCATTGTTCTGGGTTTTAGTAATATGGTAACAAGCTCCGAAAACAATGTTATTATCCCTTTCCATACTTGGAACATTATATTCATGCAGTCATGGATTTTCCCTTCTGATTTGTAATCTTCTGTGCTTTCCAAAATCTGTTGC